AATCCTCCAAGAAAGAGGAAGTGGAAAGAATAATTAATGTAGAAGATGTGGAGGATATGGACATATCAGTTGATGACGTGGATGACTCACCTTCGCAAGGACTCAAACTAAAGATAAAAATTCCAGAGTCTTCACCAGAGAAGCCGTATGTCAAGAATTATTATGTTATTTGTATATTACAGTATATTTTATATATTACTGTAGTTATGGTAACTACATACTTTTTTCTTGTACTAACAGTAGGGAATTCTTTATATTAAAAAATAAATAAAGTCAAAATCAGATAAATCCATTTATCATACAAATTGATCATTTGTTGACTCACAGAACCACTCCAAAATCCTCCAAAGTCAAATCTGAAAAGAGCAAGTCGTCTGGCACCAAAAAGAGTGGCAAAAAGAAAGATGGCAAAGGAGAAGACGACACAGACAGTGAGGAGGAACGATGGCTGGATGCAATTGAGTCAGGAAAGTTGGAAGAGGTAAAATCTATTTTAGTAGAGTAAGAGTTAGAATGCCATAAGTGGTAGCTATATATGTATGGCTTTTCTTTAAAAGGTAATTGATAGTGTAATTACAGTATGGAGTAGATGCTACATATTTTTTATAACGGTCTTTGAAAAGTTGTTCAGTTATTATAGGCAGTATCTTAAGAATCCAGATGTAGATGTTTCTTAAGAGAGCATTTACTTAGTTTACCTATAAATTGATTGTCATTAGAATATGAACACACTCTTTTCTTTGAAAACTTGTAAATACTTCATAATTCCTTCATCCTTTAAGAGTGGTTTACTATTTGTCAAAGGGCAGAGGCATAAGTTTGGCATTTAGAAATAAAATTTGTATTTAATGACACTAAGTATTACTTCAAGTTAAAAGTGCTGAATTCCTTCATATATGAAATCTTTGGGAGTTGAAAATGGTTGAAATGGTTTGCTAAATTATGTGACTGTTCAACATTTCTTTGTAATTTTAACTAGTACATTGTAATCTTTTTTTGAAGTGGCTTACTCTTTTTGAAAATCGTTAAAGTAAAAGGCTTCGCTCAGAAGAATATGTTTCTGTGAAAAAAGGAATCTTACATGTTAAATTTATTGTGCCATAATATCTATGATTCTGTGACAGATTCAAACTATGTCTACAGGTTGATGATGAGCTAAAAAGAATGAAGAACCCCAGACTGATGACAGCAAGACAGCGAGCCATGCTAGAGAAAAGGAGTGATGGGACGGATGATGCACTTCCAGTTATACCAGCAGAACCTCTCTTATCTTTGCCATCAGGTAAGAGTTTTTTCTTTCAGAAAAGAAAAAGGCCAAAGCTATAAATGTATGTGCATGTGTGAATTATAACATATAATGTACCATATTATATATATTGGGACTTACAGTGAAGTGATCATATGCTTGCATCAGTTACTTAACCCATTACCAACATACATGCCATGTCCATTGTGAGTTTACTTGTTTAATTGTTTTTACACATAGATGGCTACACTTGTACTAAGTCACCAGTGAGCCAATAACGAGTACTGCTCGTCTTGCCCGTTTACCCTTTTCCTTGATTTACGAAAATGTTTTGTTATCTTATTTTGCTGTTCCTAATGTTTAAACATAATAGTAATTATAGTTTCTATAATAAAAATAACACCATCGATATTCATAGCATTAATAAAAAATATGTTTTTCCTGCCAATTCAAGGAATGGTGAAATTAGGTAAGGTCACAAGGTCTACTAGTTGACTACTTTGTGGCTAAGCACTATCAGAACCATCTATGTGCAGAGACATTTCACAAAAATATAAAGAATGAGCACAACATTTTGCCCATTTTTTATTAATTTTCCCTGGTGGCATGTGGTTCTGGGTCTATAGTTGATACTTTCTAAAGATTTTCAAGAAATAAACTTATTCCAGACATTTCTAGAGTTTTGGCTTGTTAGAGTATCCTTGACCAGTAAATAAAATTGCATCAGCAGAATATTCTCTCTCTCTTCTTTATGAGGATGTTAACCTTTACAGTAGTTATGACATTGTATTCAGTGAATGTATGTCTATAAATTTCAGGTTTCAAAGAAAAGGTTGTCACAGAAGAAATGTTGGCTAAAAAAGCAATGAAAACACAGAAGAGAAGAGAACAGGCTCAGGAGAAGAGGGAGGAGGATAAGGTAAGCTTCATATTATGAACTTATTATATACTGTGATACTTTGAATGAACAAAAAGCAAGTACGGTTGTGGGAGAGGAGAGGTGAAATTAGCATCACTGGGATATTGTGTTTTTTTGCTTTTAAACAGTGAATATTAAAGGCAATATATGATAATATTGTTTTGGCTAAAAATATTATTGGAAGAAGTCACTGAAACAGTATCAATCCTTGAATTCATAAAAATTATAAATGTTGATTTACCATTTATTATAATAGGGAACAAAAAAAGCTAGATTTTAAATGCTACATAAATATGGAATACAGCTTTTTCTACAGATAGAGTGTAACTTTGATAAAGTATATACCCTTAAAAGATCATGCAATGTGACTGGAGCGCTTTAGGATTTCATTTACTCTTGTATTTATTTATTTAAAATTTTATAAAACATCAATTATATAGCCTAATGGCTTATTTTAAACCACAAATGCTTGGATGATGTCCTGTCATTCTAAGATAGATCTTCCCTCATGCTGGAATGATGTCTTTGAATTGTGTGCAGTCTAGTTTGCTGTAGGTTGTGTACGCTAAACAGGTATACTCTTGTTTGGCTCTGGCTGTATTCCTTGAGAAGCATTACCTAAAAATTTGTTTATGGTACAACCAGGAGCATAGAGAGCAGGATATTTTTACGATGCCTGTGCTTCTGATTTTTCCCTTGTGCATCAGACTTCTCTAGGACTCTGATATATTGTTCAGTATGGCATTGAGCCTACCATCAGGATTGGGTTAATGAAATTATTGTGATGACAGATATTTGCATTGCTGAAGGCAAGCTTGTTGATATTGAAAAAATAAAGCTTTAGACATATTTTGTATGTAAGAACAGCACAAGTACTACCAGTACTTGTTCTTTTTAATTTATTCCTTAAGTAACCTATTGATACTTATCTAGCAAGTATGTTGAATAAAGCTTGATGTATCTGATACACTTTAATACAGGCATCCCTTGCTATATACAATCAGGTTTGTTAGACAATTGCATGATTAAAATTTAGTTTTTTAAGGGATAGGTTTTAGCTACTCAGAAAAGGTAAAGAATTCATAATAAAAGAAATCCCCACCCAACATGAGATCACTTATTTGCAACAATTATTAAAGAGAACATCATTGAATTATTTTAGAAAGTTAAGGAAATAGAAATAATAAACAACAAAGATTGGAAGCAGCAAGAAGTAAAGACATAAATCTTCCTTATTACAGCGCTGTACCAATCTTCATAGTAGTTTATATTATTATTCACTTCTTGTCCTTCATGATGATGCCTTAACATGTCCAGTTTGACTTTTTCTTTTGTATTTTTTCTGGGATATTGGTCAACTTACTTTAATGTTGAATACCAATGGGCAATATTAACCCATTGGTACTAGTTATATGCATTAACCATTGTGCTTGTTTTATTAAATTTGTTTAAAGTTAAATGGCTTCACAAACACAGACACCAAAGAATCAGTTTAGCCTATCTGATTGCAGTGCCTTAAATTTCTGGAAAAAGGTTTTGTTTCTATGGCTATTTTTATCAATAGAATAGTTACTGTGATTATTATTATTATAATAATTTTATCAAAGATAATGATCATAAATATTTCCAAAAAGGAATGGGGTAAATACATTAGGTCAGATAGGCTTAGTAATTGACTACTTAGTAACAAAGCACTTGCAAAGACATCTATAAGTTAAGAATATTAATAAAACAGTGCTTTTGTCCAGTGCATGTATACACGTACTCCTAGCCTCAATGGGTTGATACAAATTGTAATCACAAGATTGCAAAAGAGATGTTAGGGTATTTTGTTTAGATAGTTAGGAGTAAAAATACATCTGATGATTATTCAGATGTATATTGCATGATGGTTATAAGAAATGATGATGACTTATGATTTTGATGCATATGCAGTGAACTATACATGATTTAATATATTTTTCAGAAAAAAACTGTTGATCGCCTTCTTAAAAAACAAGATTCTAAAATAGCAAAAATAAGCAGACAGAAATTTTCCAAGAAGGAAATTCCAGTATATTCTTACATTAATAACACGGAAATGGTAGGACTGTCTGTACCAGTTGGCTTCCCATTTCCGTTGGAGGCACAATGTGAGAAGTAAGTGGTAATGACCAAAATGTTATCTAATAATATATCTAGTAATCTTAATTTGGGCTCGTTTAATCCTCTGTGCAAATAAGATTTTTTAATTTATTTTATTTTTTTGTTCCTTTTGTTCCTTTTATGCATCATTATTATCATGGACAACAACACATTGATATATTTTCCTTCTTTCTTCTTTGCAGAGAAAAACCATTGGCCATTAGGTGTGGAGCTCCAGGATGTAGCAAGGTCAAAAAATATAATTGCTCAAAGACAGGAGTACCTCTCTGTAGCCTGCAGTGTTATAAGTTAAATTTCAATGCAAACAAGTCAGTCATCGCAACCTAACTGTTAATGCTCTGTATTTATTTTATAATAAAGTATATTAGATTTTGTTATTTTTATATTGAATCCCAAATTGCATATTTTTAATCATTTGCTCTTAAACTGTGGTGTTGGACTGGGTTTTCCTGGGTATTTACTGCTCTTTACACTACATTGAATCAAATTTAGCGGACCACCACCTTGATGCAGCCAATACTTGATCATTCTCACACACATAGTCAGTCATCGCAACCTAACTGTTAATGCTCTGTATTTATTTTATAATAAAGTATATTAGATTTTGTTATTTTTATATTGATCCCAAATTGCATATTTTTAATCATTTGCTCTTAAACTGTGGTGTTGGACTGGGTTTTCCTGGGTATT